GGCAAAATAAAAAAAAACTGGTGAAGTAATAAAAAGTGATAACAAGTTCTACTAGTAGCTTTAAAAATAGTCAAAGGGAAAAACCTATTAAAAGGTAAAGTTTTTACTATAATTTTGACTGACGTCCAGCTGAAGCTCAAGGATGTATATTAAAAAATGTGCCAGGTGTGCTACACTCTTACTTATTGTTTGTTTTACACAATTTTCTGTGTGTGGATTTTTTTTGTGGAAAGCTGTGGTTATTTGCCGAATCTCTTGAAGTGGAGTCTTTTGTTCCTAAAATAAAAATAAATCAGTCTCAGCTCCTCTCAGCTTTCTTATTGGAAGAAAAATAATGTTGTTGGTCAGACTTAAATGAGTAGTTGGCTGTTTGGGAGTAGAAAAACTGTCCATTCCAGCAAAGCTTTTATGTTCAACCATTGTAATAAACTAGAGTTTATATTTAACTTTTACCAGCTTGTTGTGTCCGTCTGTGTCTGTACAAAGCATTACCAAAAGACTGGGTTGTTTTGAACTGGTCAGTGGGATTTTTTTTTCTTCTTTTTTGCTAGTTTTTGCTGGTCTTCAGTTTGATATCTGTGTAAAGACACATTCGCTCTTCGTACACTCTTAACAAAAGTAGCAGGGAGGCATACTGATATCTTGCCAGCTTCAGAACAATGGTGCACTCTGTTCCCTCAGTAGTGCCTGTTGGGTAAAATTTTCACCTCAGTGGGTTCAGATGGTTTACTCAGTCCAGACCTCAAGCCTGAACATAAAGAGATTCTACCTGCAAGCCTCAGCTCAGGGCACAAAGTTTTTCCCTGCAGAGGTTTGGAGTTACTGAGGTCTTTGGAGTATACAGAGAAAACAGTATTTTGTTACTGTTTTTGCTGAAACCATTCCTTCTTTCAGAACCATTATACATAGTAATCATTTAGTCGGCGAGGAGTCCATTTTATTTGACATTTATGTAATATATTACTCAGATCATTCGTTTCTAATTCTTTTTTAATTCCTTATTTGTAAGTTTAATTTGCCAGAACCTGTTAAAAACTTTCAGATTATTATTTTTACGAGCTCGCTTATATCAGAGATTGTTTGCTAATTAAGAAGAATGACTCCAAGCACACTCTTCTGTTTGGTAGCAGGAGTGACTGGAGCTCAGCTGTGATGGTCCCCCAGTGAGGTGCAATACACTAATTGGCTCAGAACATGTTATTAGGCTGGTTACTCAAGACTGTTGTGAAAGTCTTTGAAAAGATTCAGGTCCCTGTGTCCAGGATGTGGAGCGACACTATCATATCACAGTTACCAGTCTTGCACATTGGATGGTATGACTTTTTTCCCCCTGCATTTGTGAAGCTTTTATTATGATGCGTCTATGGGAAATGAAATGCGAGCTTGGCAGATTCGCTGATGTCTGCAAGGCAAGATATAAACATCTTGTCCTGTGCCAGGAAAACTCGAGCAATTGCTCGGTACCTCCACCCTGATTTAAATTAGGATAAGTGATTTGTGATATGCTCCTGAAGTGAGTCCCTTTTATGGATTCAAGGCCATATAAACTCCACAGTTGATAATTGCAGTGCAAGAGCATGCATGGCTTTGGAAGCAGTTATTGTTCATGCAATAACTGAGACAGGCAGCCGACTCTCCTAGGAGGAGCCACTGAAATCCCATGAAGATGAAGGTCATGTCCCAGTCGGACCTGTTGAGCTTGGCTCTCAGTGGAAACCTTATGCTCCGGAGAGAATGAATGATAAGGAAAATAAAAGACTGAACTGCCTTTGTGCCCTATGAACTGCGCATGTTCTTTTTCTTGTTGATCTAGGTTCAGATAAATGAGTGAAATAGTCTTTTAAACTGTGTGTGTGCTTTTCTTTTTCTAAGGAAAAGACTTTTTAAAATAGTTTTGGATGTATTTCAATAGCAGAGGCACAACACCTAAATAGGGAGGCAGAGAGAATAAGCAGAGCTTTGAGTAATTAGAAGTCAGGTCTGTTGACAGATGTTGGACTGAGCGTGCAGTTTGACTGGCCAGAGGTCCTGGTCAGGTTCTCCTGCTGTGGAGGCGAGCTGAGGGCGTGCCAAGACATTCCGCGTGTCACTTTCTGTACAGCCGGCCCACTTCTCTCTTATTTAGTAATTTCCTTTAGGGAAAAAAAAGTAAGCGGACTAAAAGGAAGTGAGATTGCTTACTTGCTGACTTTTCAGTCAGTTCCTTTTCAGAGCTCGGGGAAGAAGGATTGTACCTGTCTTTCTAATACTGTCACCATTTGAATCTTCTTTTTATGAAGCATTTTTAATTATTATTATTTTTTAAATAATGGATTTTACAAAAATGCAGGAAGCATCGGAGTGCAACATGAAAAGTAGGTTTAAGGTTTTTTTTGGGTAATCTTTTCTGCTGTTCCCTTTGTCAAGAATTTTTAACTCTGACTGGAAAACGATAATCTTCAATATCACTAACTTGTGGTTGTTTTTTTTTTTTTTACATTTTCCTCTTCCTCCTTCTCATCTCCTTCAGTGCATCCCATGTGGCAAGAACCCCTCGTGGTACCAGGAGGGGATCGTCAGTCGCCAATTGATATTGTCGTACGCAAGAGCATCTTTGATTCAAAGCTGAAGCCTCTGGTTACCAAATACGACCCGCATACTTGCCAACAAATCTGGAACAACGGTTACTCGTTTCTGGTCGAGTACGATGACACTACAGACAAGTCCAGTAAGTACTCTTTTGTAATCTGCATGTATATATTTAGTTAAAATACTCCAAACAGTACACATTAAGTTATTCAGGTAATTACTCCCTAGAAACCTAGAAAGTAAGATTACAGTTTGTACCATGTAAGTTCCTCTTTGTTGCCTGCTCAGATGGCAGCAGGTCTGTAGCTTCCATTTAAATCGGGAAGAATTTAAGGGAAATCTCGGCTGTAGGAATGTATGTTTTGGTCTACACAAGGGGATTATCTTTTCCTGCACTCCCCCTTAAAGAGCACTCAGTATGTAGGAAAATCCAGTAAGCAATACTGCTCTTAAAGGTGCCATGTGGGCTGTCATGTGACTTGTATGTTTGTGCTGACCCTTAAAAGTGCAACGTACCCTGTCCTTAAAGTGTCATTTTGGTATAATTACTGGGGTGTGCCAAAACACTAACTTTACTACCCATTAAGATTCTAAATATAAATCATGTTTTGGTGAAATTACAACAATACACTTTATAGGGTGTCACATGCTGCCAGTCTTTGTATTAAAAGCTTTAAAGCTTAGTCTGCGAGAACAATAACAGGTTTATAAACTTCACTTTGTGAAGAACTTTAGCCTTTATTTTTTTGACAACAGAAACCTTTATGCTGCTGTATTTGGAGAAGGAGAGGCCTTGTCAGTGTACAGATACTGTGAGGACAATAAAACATTATTCTTTCATAGCCTCGTTCTCACTTTAGTGTTTCCTGGATGTTTGATGTCAGTATTACTCCCTGAACAACCTGTTTCTGAACAGTCAGTCTTTGTCTGATAATTTCCACCCTTTGAAGGAGGAAACAAGTAATTAAAAATTCCTTGAAACACAAGCTATTTCCTCTGGACGAATCCATGTTTGATGCACTGATTTTTCATGTCCTTGAACTTTATGGTTGCAGCGCTACAAGGGGGCCCCATGGAAGACAAATTTAGGCTTTGCCAGTTCCACTTCCACTGGGGTGAGACCAACGCCTGGGGCTCAGAGCACACCGTGGACAAGAAGCTGTTCCCCGCTGAGGTACAGCAGTGCTGCCACCTCCATACACCAACACAAACACATGGAAAACATGGGGTCACGTAAATGTTCACAGCCATCATTTTTACCATGAATTTATCCAAGTCCCCTTCTGATGTGCACTAATTTTCACTAATGTTGTTTGATTATGTCGCTGGTCAATGTAAGAGCTCGTAACATTTATATATTACTTGGAAAGTATGCACAAGATTATGTGTTGTGGGATTTGTAATTTATGCTGACCATATACAAGTTGCAGTTACACAACTAAGACAGGCTCACCTGGAAACTCTAAGGTTTTAATTTAAGAAGTTGAACAATAATATTTATATGCAATAATAATAATATGTCAAAATGCAGCTATTTTATGCACAGTTCCGTATTTTCTGGGTTTTAATTTTAATAGGATAAACTCGCACAACAATAACAGAAGTGCTTATTTTTCATGGACGTCACCAAAGACTGGCTTTCCTCCTTAGTGGTGTTTTGCTAACCTTCACTGGGGCTGCTTTTAGTGGTTGTTTGTGGGTCTTTCTGCTTTTAGTGATGTTCAGCTCCGTCTGGTTGACATCGGGGAAGAGACTGAGCCAGTGGAGATTATTCCACTTCTTTACCATTAAAACTTCAGCCTGAAAGGCATTGTTTTAGTTCTCTCTTATTAAAAGTCTGTTGCACATCTATTAGTGACTGACTGAATGGACTTCAGCATCAGTGCAGTAAATTCAGATGTTAGATGCTTTTTAATAAGATTGTTTTGTTTTGTTGTTGTTGTTGTTGTTGTTTTTTTACAGATTTTGGATTTACAAGATTTTATTTTTTTAACAAAAGCCACAATATCAGCATCACCTGAGATCAAAACACCACCAAGTACATGAGCGTGTTCATACCTGTAACAGCAGTGTTCCCCTATGCACACACTCTGTTGACGCTTAAAAAGCCCTGACCTTGCAGCTGCTGGATTAATGTAGCATGCTAAGTGCAGAAGCACTGCACACTGTATGCTATTGTTTAACGAGCCGCTGAATGGAAACTCACATAGGTATTACTTAAGAAGCAGGTAATTGAGAGAGAGGGGAGTTGGGGGGGGGGGGTGTAATTCGCTGTCAGTCATTTGCAATTACTTTCTGCATCACTGGATCTTTACATAACCCCTCACTGAACCCACTATTGTATTGATGCTTGCCTGAACTCAACTCAAGTAATATTACAACCCCAACTCCAAAAAGGTTGGAACGCTGTTTAAAATGTAACTAAAAACAGAATAGAGGGATTTTAAAATCTTATAAACCCCTACTTTATTCAATATAGAACAATATATCATGTGTTTGAACTGAGGAAATGTACAATTTTCAGATTCCTTGTTATCCACAGGTTAAAGCTCTATCATGCAAAGAAGAATCCATATATGAGCATGATCTGGAAATGCTTGTCTCTGTTTGGGACAAATCTAATTTAAAATGGACTGAGGCAAAGAGGAAAACTGTTGTTTGATCAGACAAATCCATCCATCCATCTTCATCCGCTTTATCCGAGGCCGGGTCGCGGGGGCA